GAGCCTAACCGTTGCAGGGATGAGTCTCTTACTCGAAGGATTATCTGAGCCTTGGTCAAGTATAAGTGTTATGTAGGTATAATTGATAGGAGATAATGTTTCTAATAGGAATCTCAAGTATCAGTAGTTGAGTAGTCAGTTGGGAAAATTAATGGGATAGATTTAACAATGTTATAGTATGGGCGGTCTGATGGGAGTTAGATCAATTTGAGACTTCAGATTTCAGGCAAAGTGGGGTTGTTTTTTGCATGGGATTATGGATCCGTCTTCTTAGGGATTGGAACTTCTGCTTGGGATAAGTTTTGTTGCCTTGGGAAGGCCTTTGTATGCTCAAGGTTGTGATTGTGTCCCTCAAGCTGTCAGGATTGTTGGGGATAGTGAGGAATGATTTCAAGGACGAAATCGAATTTAAGTGGGGGAGAGTTGTAACGATCGGTTTTGAATCGCTTCATTTTTTGGGACCGTGGCCCGATCATCAGTTATCATAAGTCTTAGGGCCTTGGGTAAGAAAGGTTTAGACCCATTTGGATGTAGTGGTGTTGGTTATGTGATGATGGGGTTCGGTTTATGTTTTAGTGTCGAAAGGTAATGGTAAAGGCATTGCTTCAGACCTTGTATGAATTTTGGATTTAAGTTTGGTTTGTTTTCAGATTAAATAAATTTGATAGAAGTGTAGGGATTATCGTTACCTTATCGTGGATATAAAGAACATCGAAAACGGATAAGGGATGCAAAAGTTATGACCATTTGAAGTTAGAGGGTTTTTGGGCCAAATCGGGTACGCAAGGCGTACCAAGTGGGAACGCATGGCGTTCAAAGGGAAAATGGATAGGGGCCAACCTGGGAACGTTGGGTGTTCCCTAAGGGAACATTGGGCGTTTGATGGGCTATTTCAAAAGCTCATTTTTAGGGTTTGGCCCCTTTATAAGCATCATTCTAGACCCAAACCTCTTCCATTCTTCAACCTCCATCTTCTATAACCCTAAGGACGAAAACCTAGCCCCATTTGTGTATTTCTTGAGCTTCATGGTGATTTTTAGGTGTTTTGGTACTTAAAGAGAAAGAAGGAACTTCTTGAAGAGTCAATACCTGACTTAGAGCTTTTGGATCCAGGCTTTTCTCACCAAGATCTAACTTCTGGAGGTATAAAGTCTCAACCTTGACAACTCTTTCATGTAAATATAGCTAGTTGGTTTTGGTTATTTCTTGGTCCTTTTGTGGTGATTCTTGTGAGTAGATGTTACTCCAGAACCTTTGAGCTTCATATTTGGTCCTTGTTAGGTTATAAAGTGTTAAAGTTTGGATCTTGATGAGTATAAACCTTTCATGCATGTTTTGGTGGTCTTTTGGTAAAGTTTGGGACTTAGGGTTTTGCTTTGGGTCCCATTAAGTCTTGCTAAGTCATAAAGTCCCTTTGAATTAGATTTGGAATTTTAGACTAAGGTCTTAAGGTAAAAGCTTGAAACTTGGCCTCTTTATGGAGTTAGAATGTTTGAAATCATGATTAGGTCCTTTTTGGACCGTGCAAAGGTACCAAGTTGACAACTTTATGGATTAAGTCATTGATATGAAGCTATTTTGAGGATTTGGACGTTGGACTTAAGGTTTTAAGACGTTTGGGGTAATTTTTGGGCAAAGGTCGGGAACATCGTGCGTTGATCTCAGAAATGCATCGCGTTTAGACAAAAGGACCTGATTTGTGGTCTGGAAAACGAACGTCTCCACCAGGGAACACAGCACGTTCTGTTCATCTGTGGGCTTTTTGGGCTTTTGGTCATGGGCTTGTTTTAGGGTTTGGGCTTGTTTCTTTGGGCTAAGAATTATCTGTTTGGGCTCTAGTTGGGTCTCAAAACTTTGAGTAGGCCTTAGGTTTGGTTTGGGCCTCGAGTTGTGTTATTAGGCCATTAGTGGGGCTTGGGCCAAGTTTAGGTTTAGGACCATTATGGAGAGGATAAAATGGGCTTTTACCCTAGGAGTTGGTACTTTTGAGTTGAGACCACGGTTATTAGATTATGGCATAATTATTAATTGGGTTTTATTTGTTATTAGTGTGGGATTTTCGGTTCGGTAGTTGAGTGTTATTTGATTAGCAACGGATCGAGGTGAGTCTCCTCATTTCTCTATGGGTCGAAGGCACCAATGTCGGCCCATGTGTATGCTATGTTAGTATGCTAGCTGTCTTTGTGACTCTTGCATGTGTATGTGTTTATATGCTTACCGAGCTAAAGTCCGATGTCAGGCGGGGCCCGATGGATATTTGTCTGTTATGTATCTATGTGATTATTGCATTTGTATGTGTTTATTTGATATATGTTATTGTATGTTGGGCGAGACCCATTTTACCGAACTCAGCTCGATGTCGGGTGGGGCACAATGTCAGACAGGGTTCGATGTCGGGCGGAGCCCACTATATATTTATTTTATGTTTGGTATGTGGTATTTTGGGAACTCACTAAGCTTTTTGTTTACAGTTTTCATTCTATGTTTCAGGTGATTCAGTTTTTTAAAAAAAATGGAAGAGCTCGAGATTATTGCAGGGCACACACCGCATGTTTCCACATTATGTGATTTACTCTGATTTAAATGATGTTTTCTAAATCTTAACTACCTTGGTTCTATAGAAATGATATGTATTAACAATTTATTAATTTAAAAATGAAATTTTATGCCATTATTTTTGGGACGTTACACTCCGCGACTGAGAACCCTCCATCCGATCATATACTCCAACACCAAGTATCTTCATTGTCTCTCGAATTAACATCTTACAGAGCTATATTCAAACTATCTAACTGAGAACTTTCCTCTCCTCCACGTATATCACGACGCCAACACCACCTCCAACATGAAGTCATTTTTTGATCAACAATTAAGCAATTTTGCATCAGCTCTAAACGAAAAAGAAGTAGAAATCTAGTAGACAACTTTTGATCTCCAAGCCAAATATCATTCCAAAACTGAATTTTATTCCCGTTTACTAATTTTCTTTTAGCAACCGACTTAGGAAGAATATCTTTATTGTTCATCTTGGTTGAAACTTTTGAGTAAAACCTCAAATGTTTTGATTTCAAATGTACATATTGATAAAACCCTAAGATGCTGTGAGTTTCAAAGCTACATATCGATGTTCATCTTGACTTTTGTCCATCTACTTTTTAAATATTTTGGAATACTGAAATTACATAATGTTTGTATAAATCAATATTTTGTATACATTTGTACAAAAATACACAAATCAATTTCTTTTTCAATACATGAATTTTTTCCTGATGGGTTTTTAATTTTTCCAGATATTCATATTAAGCTTCGTATAGATCAATGTTTTGATTATTGTCCATGGGGGTTCTTGATTTTTGTTTATCTGGATTCCATCATCAAATTTTCCATAAGCTATCATTTCATTGATGCTTCTACTCCTATCTACAATTTTGATTTGGAAATGTAGGATGAATACACCTATATTTTTTTGTTCTTGGTTTCGATCATAGGCATGGGTTTGGATATGGTTCCAACTTCCATGTTCTTGGATTCATTCATGCGTTTGGATATGGGATGAAGAAAAAAATGCAAATGGGTCCATGGGTTTCTATTTCAATCATAAATAATTTAATTATCTAAAACAGACAAAACTTAACAATAATAATAAAACTAATTTATAAAAAACGAAACAAAATGAAAATAAAAAACCCACATGGCCGCCATAAAGATGAATCTAGAACAGAACTTGCACCTTCTTAACATGCTATAACATGCGATGGTGATTAAATTGCTACAATTATAACAATTTAGAGTATAATTTAAGACAACATGAAACTTTGGAGACTAAACTAAGAACAAACCCAACACAATCATATAATATGTACCATAATTATTATAGTTTTCTTTACTTAGTTACTTGAATTAGGGATGAGCAAAAAACCACACCGAAAACCGAAAAAAACCGACATAATCGAAACCGAAAAACCGAAACCAAAGCAATAATCGACGGATTAGGTTTGAATTTTACAAAAACCGAAAAATAACGGTTTGGTTCGGTTTTGATGTATAAAACCGCCCATAAAAGCCGAACCGACCCACATATATATTATTTATATTATGATTTAAACTTTTAGTTTTAGACTTTAGACTTTATCTCTTTAATACTTTATGTTTATTTTCAACAAACTATTAATGGTGTTAAACTTTGATCTTTTGAACACTTTTATGCTTTTATAATACTATAATTCGTACTCTTTATTTTAGTATATTTAAAGTGATACAATACTATTTATCGCAACGTATTTTCACAAGATTTGAACCCAAAAACTAGAGGAAAAAAAAAGGAGCTCATAAACCCACAGTTTAAAATCGAAAACCCATAAACCCAACCCGAAAAACCGATCCATGCAAAAACCGAATCTATATGATTTTAAAAACCAAAATAACAACTTTCGGTTTGATTTGGTTTTAGTCAAAAATTGATCCAAACCAACCGATATTCCTCCCTAACTTGAATGACAATAAATTATCGATTTAAAATGAATGGATGACTTTCCAATTGAACAAAATAAATGAGAAATATTTATATTGAAGTCTAACCACGTGGTACATTGTATTTCCAATTCAAGCGACACCAATCCCAAGTGACAACCGGCGTTTCCCCTCGTCTTTCAAAAGGTCACCGTCCCACGCCAACAATCGTAGACACTTGCCAGGAACTTTCCTCTTCTTTTTTAAAGTACTCAAAAACCGCATTCACACCAACCTGTCCCCCTCACGTCTCTATTTCATCCTTTTTTTTTATTTTTTTATTTCAATTCTATATTTTCTTCATCAAAATCCTCCTCATTATTACCAATCACAGTCTTTCTTGTTGTGTTCACATCTGTTTTTGGGTATTTTGTCAATCAGAACAATTGCATCTGTTCATACCCAGTTTCCCTTTCTGCGTTTTTTTGTCTTATGATGTAGCTACTTTCTCAATATTCTTTAACAGCTGGTTGCCTCTGAAATTCGACGGGATGAATGACAAACCAGTGCCGCAGCAGCAGCGGAGGAGAAAGGTAGCGAAAACTGAAGTCGCCAATGGAAGCGGTGGCGGCGATGGAGGCGATACGGAGGGGACAGAGACAAATGGGTTGACAAAGATTATTACGTCTTTCTTTTTTGTTGAGGAGCAAGAGAAGTCCGATAAATCCCAGGTAGAAGATAAGATGATGTTCGAGGCTAACCATAAGAAAGAACACGGTGATGTCTTTGATACATCCAACCCGATTAAAAAGCGTAAGTCTCGAACAGCTAAACCAGCTGCCTCGATTCCTTCGGATGCAGCTGCTGCAGTTGACTTTGGGTACGATTTGAATCTAGCTACCAGTAGCGGTGGAGTAGCGACGGAGAAAGGTGGCGATGGCCCACAAAGGAGGCTATGGGTCAAGAATCGATCACAAGATTGGTGGGATAAGTACAACAGTTCAGATGTTTCAGAAGATGAGTTCCGAAAAGCCTTCCAAATGGGGAAAGATACGTTTGAGATGATATGCAATGAGCTTACAGCTTCTGTTGCCAAAGAGAACACCATGTTAAGAGACGCAGTTCCTGTAAGGCAAAGAGTTGCTGTCTGTATATGGAGATTAGCAACCGGAGAATCTTTAAGACTTGTTTCAAAAAGATTCGGATTAGGCATCTCTACATGTCACAAGCTTGTTCTTGAGGTTTGCTCTGCTATAAAAGATGTGTTGATGCCAAAGTATCTCCAATGGCCAAATGACGACTCCATGAGAGTAATCACCAACGAATTTGAATCACTTTCAGGTATACCAAACGTCGTAGGATCAATGTACACAACTCATATACCAATAATCGCTCCAAAAGTTAACGTAGCTGCTTACTTTAATAAGCGTCATACAGATAGAAAGCAAAAAACTTGTTACTCTGTAACAGTTCAAGGTGTTGTGGACCCACGTGGGGTGTTCACAGATGTGTGTATCGGGTGGCCTGGATCGATGCCAGATGATCAAGTGTTGGAAAAATCCGCACTTTATCAAAGAGCAAATGGAGGACTTTTAAAAGGTGTATGGATTGTGGGTGGATCTGGATACCCTTTAATGGATTGGGTCCTCGTACCCTACACACAACCACATTTAACATGGACTCAACATGCTTTTAATGAGAAGATCGGTGATGTTCAGAAGGTATCTAAGGATGCTTTTGCAAGATTGAAAGGTAGGTGGACATGTTTACAGAAGAGAACAGAAATGAAGCTTCAAGATCTACCAGTGGTGCTTGGGGCGTGTTGTGTTTTGCATAATATATGTGAAATGAGGAGAGAAGAGATTGAACCCGAGTTGATGATTGAAGTTGTGGATGATGAAATGGTTCCTGATATTGCGTTGAGGTCTGCAGTTGCAATGAAGGCGAGAGACTCAATGGCACATAATCTTTTGCACCACAATCATGCTGGAACTTCATTCTTGTCATGATCAATTGCACATATCACTGTGAGTTTGTTTCATTACATATGTTTTCGTATATTGTTGGTGTCGAATCACAAACATGGTCTACAAAGATTTCTTTGTCTTGTGGGACTACGACATCATCATTTTGTTTTTGTTTTTTGAATACGCGCGGCTTCTTTGATGTGTATACCCTTCTACAAGTATATGAATATTTGGCATATAGCTAGGAGGAGGTTATAGACTGTTGCATATACAAGTTGTAACTTGGTTCTTATACTTTTTTTAAATCAACGGTGGATGAATGAATCCGAAGTCCAAACATTTTGTTTAATATCCTTTGGCTTCACTCCATTATTATATCCAAAATATAAATGGGACAGTGTTATTAATTACGATAGCTGGATTGATATTTTAACTAGTTTTTACTTTTTGATTCTCTTCGCGTTTGACTCGCAAAAGGAATGGAAACAGTTTTCAAAGGAACTGTTACTGTTCTTTTTGTCTAAGCTTTGGGCATGAAAATCGCATAGAAGATCAAATTAGAATCATTTAACCTGATAAGAGAAAACAACCACTGAAAAGCTGCTCATGGTGGTCTAATTATGTAAACGGTGCCCTGAGGAGTACGAACTGATTAATGAAAAAAGTTGAACCATGGAGGGTTAAATGCAAAGACATAGCAAAATACTTGCAAATGATAGGGATTAAGGATTAGGGTTAGGAAACCTCAAGTATAAATTGGTCATTAGGGTTAAGTATTAAAGGGCAGAAATTGAGTCTCACAGTGGAGATCCCCATTTCTCGAATTAGAGGAACCCTTTTGTATTTTTGTTCTTTGGTATTGATTTGCAATAAAGAATTCTACTCCTAGTGTTATTGAATTGGTATCAAAGCATTCTCAAATCTCGATTAACCCTTATAGTTGCCATTATTGTTCACGACGTTTACCGTTCACGATGCTACTATTCATGATGCTAATGTGCACTACATGGTAGCCAACAAAAAAATAAAAAATTTAGAAGCTGAGTTTCCAAATGTAGGTTGATGAGACGAAGTACTAGTTATGTTCAAAATTTTGATGATGTGCTGAAGGCAATTGCGGGTATGGTCAAAGCGGTGAACAAGATCTAAAATGAGCTCAAGGAACCACAATATGATGACCAGAGGTCTTAGGTCTTGGCGGTACCTTATATTTTAAGGAAAAAGAGACCGATGAGGAATTGGATTCCATGGTGAATCGGAAATGAAACATAAGGAAAAAGAGACTGATGAGGAATTGGATTCCATGTTGAATCGGAAATGAAACATTCGGGTAAGATTATCTGATGAGAAAGTTAGGGATGTATATATATGATGGTGAGGACGCACATGGGCGGAGCTACATAATCGAAAGGTATTTCACTATTTTGTAGTCTAGTTCATCATGCTTGAGGAGACACTCAGAGTTGTGACTTTATGCATCGAAATGTATTTTGTAGTCCAGGTTATCATCATATCAATCACCAAAATAAGTACCTAATAAAACATACTAATATGTTGTTTTTTAAGCATAACTTCTATTTGCAATGCTAACTATGAATGATATATTATGTCAAGTTTTGGGTTTAAACCTACTAGTTAAAATGAGAAACTTATTTTTATTATTAACATGATCATATCAACCATCAAAACAAGTACCTAATAAAACATACTAATATGTTATTTTTGCGCTTAACTTTTATTTGTAAGGCCATCTATAAATGATATACTATGTTAAGTTCCAGGTTTAAATTTGGTGATGTCGATTTTGGTAAAAAAATCCTGATAATGAAAAACTCATTATAACTGTTGACATGATCATGTCAACCACCAAAACAAGTACATAATAAAACATATTATGTTATTTTTGTATGCATAATTTTAATTTGTAATGCTAACTATACATACTTTATTATGTTAAGTTTTGACTTTAAACCCAGTGGCACCAGTTTTGAAAAAAAATACTAGTAAAAATGAAAAACTCGTTTCTACTTGTTGGAATATTAAAAGACATATGATATAAAGGAATCTCATATCATCCCACATCGGTGGTGGAAGGGAAGATGAGAATCAAATTTCTTCTATAAAATATCAATTCTAAACTAGAAGAAGACATTTTGTTTAGTGTTTTCTTTTGTAGGTTGCCTTTTGCAAAATCAAGTTGCAAAGTTTATAAAACCTAAAATACTTGGTTTAAAGTTTGGTTTCTTTAATGCTCAAACTATTTTTTTAGAGAAAAACCTTTTTTTGGTTTGAGTTCATCTAAGTTTGACGGGTTTCTTAGGTTTGACATATATGTATCCGACCCAATACAAACCCGTTTTTGGCTCTATATTATTATATTTGATTCGAATTTTTTTGGTGTCATTGCTGCTAGATATTTTTGCGTCCTCCCCTATTAACCAGTATAACTTAAATGATGGTCAGACCCTGTTCAAATCATGGGAAAGGACCCCGTTCAAATCATGGGAAACCATAAAAAGTTGTATGCCGACTAGATTTTAGCCATCCATGAAAGCCAAATTGTAGGAGCAAATCTTAGCCCACTCAACACTGGTTCAGCAAGCAAATGAGTTTGTTTAAAAGGTTTGTGGTTCAACATTCGGGGATGCCAAAACTCATATTATAAACATATTAATTCTCATGCAGTTGGTGAACATGAAAGTTTGGGACTTCAGAGATCGGGTATATAACTTTTTGGATTCACAATTTGACCACCAAAGTTTTATACTTTCTCTTTTCCTCCCAGTGACCATTGGACCGTCTTCTTTAACCAATCATGGGAAAGGACCCCGTTCACAATTTAACCACTCAACACTTTCAAATCATAGGAAAGGACCCCGTTCAAATCATGGGAAACCATAAAAAGTTGTATGCCGACTAGATTTTAGCCATCCATGAAAGCCAAATTGTAGGAGCAAATCTTAGCCCACTCAACACTGGTTCAGCGAGCAAATGAGTTTGTTTAAAAGGTTTGTGGTTCAACATTCGGGGATGCCAAAACTCATATTATAAACATATTAATTCTCATGCAGTTGGTGAACATGAAAGTTTGGGACTTCAGAGATCGGGTATATAACTTTTTGGATTCACAATTTGACCACCAAAGTTTTATACTTTCTCTTTTCCTCCCAGTGACCATTGGACCGTCTTCTTTAACCAATCACAATGCCATCGCCATTGACTAATGTCCTCTTCTTCAACCAAAAAAAACCCGTTATTACATTCAAAGCCCTGCAATCTTCTATATCCTTCCCATATCCCTTAATCTTTCATCATTGCACCGAAGGTTGCCTCCTCTTCTCCCAATCAAATAGCACTGATCAGAGACATGGCTGGAAATCGACTCACGGGCCCGTTATCCCTTTCCCTACGTTAGGGCTGCCAAGAGGATAACCTAAACTAACAAATACCACCACCTTGTGAAGATTATAATTAAGGAACATTTATCAGGGGATCAAATCGGAGTTACGGTCCATGTTACATGAGACACTATTACTAGAATTAATGTATAAGGAACAACCAAATAATAATTGTGACATATTTATAACAATAAAATAAACAAATAAACAATAAATATTTATAATGGATATGTTTTATTAAATACCAACTTAAATAAATTAAATTATTTTTTATTATTTATGAAATGATGGTAAAATAAATAAATTGCTTTACTATTAGTGAGTTAAATAAAATAGTTTATTAGTTACTTAAGGGATTTGTTAATTATAATTAATAATGTTTTGGCTTTCGACTTTTATTTGTTGATTATGAATGTTTTTTTAATCCATAATAAGTAAAATGAAGCTTCTAGTGGTCGCTCTAAGTACTATGAGAAAATAAAAAGTATTATTCAAGTCTTGAAGTGTGATTAAGGGGATATTGTTTGGGATTGCTTATGAGAAAAGTTTAGGGTAAATTACACCATTGGTCCCTCGTGCACATGCCAGAAAGCATGTTTAGTCTCTATTTTCAAAATTTAACTCGAGCAGTCACTCGTTGTTATTTTTCTTGCACAGTTAGTTCCTATAGACGTTAACCGTTAGATGCTTCCGTTTAAGCTCCCCACGTGCCTTGCATGCTGGGAAATTTTCATCTTTTGAGGGTTTATATCCCTTCTTAATGTCATTGCAACTTAAAATCTTATAAAACACTACAGCCCTCTTTTCCTCTGCTATCCTCACCTTCGTCTCCCCTTGTTCGATCGATTTCTTCCAACTAGATAACAATGATCGATATTAAATGCAATTGTGGAGCCACTGCAGTGATTCGCACATCTTATAGCAAAAGAAACCTTGAGAAATTCTACTATGCTTGTACGGTAAAAGTAAGGTTAATGATTTTAATTTTGTTCTTCATCTTCTCTAATTTTTCCCTAATTCTTGATCTACTTTAATTGCGTCAGGGACCATTATGCAAGTTCATAGGATGGGTGAATGATTATGATCATGACTGTGATTATATGACGTTTAGGATGAAACTTGAAGAACAAAATCGCAAATTGAAGTTTTACCTAGTTATTAGCTGGTTTTTGTTTGTTTCGATCCTTATATATAAAGTGTAGGTTTAGTAATGAAGTTCTTAGTATTTTGTTATCTGTATTTTGTATTGCTATTTGTATTATGAAAAAACCTTCAATTCCAGTTACAATATGTTGTGTAATCATAATGTGGTGTTCTTAGTTTGTGTTCAAATTTAATGAAAATGTGGTATTTGCAACATATGCAATATACCATTTAATACATGGAGCATCTAATATAACAATAAAAAGGACAAAACTTAAAATACTTAAGATGACCATTTACCATTAACATAAAGGGACATCCAAAATAGCAAAATAGTGTTATGGCATACAGATAGTAATCCTAGATAACAACAAAGTTCAGAATACAAGACATAACAACAAAGTAATAAGGCAATCAATGACTAACAAAAACATAGTTATCCTTCAAGATCATGATACCAAACTACAAATTCTCTAAGCATAAGGCTTTTTACCTTCTTCC